TCTCTCTCTCTCTCTCTCTCTCTCTCTCTCTCTCACACACACACACACACACACACACACACACACACACACACACACACACACACACACACACTGTCTCTCTCTCTTTGACTTTTCCTGTCACACTACTCGGGCTTTAAGAAACATCTAGTCCGTGTGTGTGCTGTTTCCTGTGACGCTACCCAACCTTCTTACACCGGCAGTACACGACCCCAGACTTGGAAGATCGCTTTGTCGCCTACTCCTAAAATGTCACAGGCTCGGGGCTGCCCGACCACAATGGCTGGCAGCACCAGCCAAACAGAAAAGAAGTGCGCCGCTGGCGGTTCGACAAAACTTGGCGCACAGTGTGGCGGCACCACGCCCTGCTGTACTGGCGGTTTGATGAAGGCATACTCGTACACAGATCTTTCCACTATAGCTAAGAGTAATCTGGAGGGCGCTTTAGCTATTGCTATTTCACAGCCTCACTTGTGAATAACATTATGTGCTATCCATAGCACGTCACAGCTCCTCCTACCTGTACACAATCCTTCCTGGCTTTGACAACAGTGCTCTGGTGGGATACACAAGTAACAGCAGGCAAAATTTCGCGAGCTCAGTTTCTGAGAGCTTTCTGCGAGTGTTCGGTGAGTGTTCGCGAGCGAGCTCTGGTTGCTTCTAACTTTGTACATACATACCAGCACATTGCATCCTCCGGCGGCAGGGGACTTGGGACAGATGGGAACTTGGGACAATCAGCTCAAGCCTTAAAGGTCTTCGTTCCCCACTATGAGGGGGTTGAGTACTGATTAGGCGAGAACATGAACGCCGCAACATTTACGAGAGAAGGAAAGACGGGACATTACTTCAGCTACAGTCCAAGACAGCCAAACTGAATTCTGTCTTCAGTCGACGCCTGACGTCTGCCATCATCTGTTCTCTGACGTCTGCCAGCTGTAAGGTGTGTGATCAATGTTTCCACCGAAGTCGGGCTGACTGTTGGAATTTACGATCGATCCATGAAGGGTCATAATTTCATCCCGACTCCCCGTGTCACTAGATTGCAGCTGCTCACACCCGCAGGCCTGACGCTATGGCGGACAACAATGTCATCTTTGCCATGAGTTAGGTCTTCCTTCAAGCTCGCACTAGGACCTCCTCAATAATACCTGGGCATAGCTGAGTTCAAAAGATATCCATGAAAGTGCTTGTGTGAGTACGCCTTTTTGCAACATCTCTCCCTCTGTTCCTCTTGCCCTCCTCCCTCCGGGTGCCCATCCATCGATCCATTCGTCTGGATGTATTATCTCCTCCCCTCCCTCCATCCCTCCCTCCTTCCCTCCCTCTCTCCGTCCATCCATCCCTCCCTCCCTCCCTACGTCCCTCTCTACTTCCCTAGATCCCTCCTTCCTCCCTTCCTCCCTCCCTTCCTCCCTCCCTATCTTCATCCATCTGCTGGGCTGCCCACCTGAATATCCCCCCCTCCCTCCATCCCTCCCTCCTACTGTTCCTCCCCCTGTTCCGCTGAAGGCCTTATCGAACATCATGTGAAGCAGACACCATGAATGGTGGGGCAGTGGTAGTTTTCTTGATGACTTGCTCCCTGCTGTACAGCAGCCAATCATGTGAGAAGTAGTGGTGGGCCTGGCTTGAGAACCGGAGGGATCACCCTGCACACCATGAAACAAGCACGTGAGGTTGAAACTTAGTCAGAATCTTAGTCGAAGACCTGCCCATGAGCAGAGTGTTGTTTGTCTTTTCTTCTAATTTAGGGTTTCAACTTTCAACTACTTCATAGTACTTTATACATGAGCATGATCATGTGCAGTTCCTACCCACCGCCCCCCGCTCCCGCCCCCCTGTCCCCCGCTCCTTCCCCCCCTTGTAATTATAGATCATTGTTAGAGTTCATGCTTCGGGATTGATGTTGTCTTTCTGCGATACGATGCACTGCATATGCCTCGCGATTCGATCTGAGTTGCAGTACTCACCTGGTTGGGTCCAAGCCAGGTGAAACTTCACAGTGAAACTTCACAGTGAAACTTCACAGTAAAACTTCACAGTGAAACTTCACAGCAAGTTGACCCCATGTGAAACTTCACAGTGGATCACACTGAGTTGAACTGAACTGCTTGACACCAGATTTGATATGGCAGTTCAAAAAAATGGCTCGACTCCGCTTGGCTCAGCCAGGGCTGGTTCAATCCTGAGCCAGTGCTTGGCTCAACCGGGCGTGGTCCTAACATGTGGCACTGCTGGGCTGAACCAGGTCCGTCCGAACCTGTGCCGCTGCTTGGGTCAAGCTGATCTGGTCCGACATGTACCCCCACCGCTTGGCTCAAGCAGCTCTCGTTCGAACCGGAGCAACTGCTTGGCTCAACCAGGTCCGGTTCGAACCTGTGCCACCGCTTGGATCAACCAACGGTGGCGGCTCGTTCGGACCTGTGGCATTGCTTGGCTCCAACGGGTCTGGCCCAAACTTGTACCAACCACCATGTGGCTCACTGCTTGGATCAACCAGGTCTGGTCTGAACCTGTGGCACCACTTGGCTCTACCAGGTCTGGTCCAAAGCTGCGCCACCGCTTGGCTCGAGCAGCTCTCGTTCGAACCTGAGCAACTGCTTGGCTCAACCGGGTCCGGTTCGAACCTATGCCACCGCTTGGCGCAACCAGCGGTGGCTGGTTCGGACCTGTGGAATTGCTTGGCTCTACCGGCCCTGGTCCAAACTTGTACCAACCACCATGTGGCTCGGTGCTTGGATCAACTAGGTCCGGTCCGAGCCTGTGGCACAAGACCTGATTGTGTCGTGCCGCAGCTTTAGACCAAGGTTAAGCCAAGCTTGTGCCACTGCTTGGCTTAACCATGGATCGCCGCGTGACACACTGCAAGGATGGACTGACTGCGATGTGGTTGGGTCGGACCAGACCTCACCTGCGGCAAAAGGCTTGGTGACATATTCAATCCACTGGCACAGGTTCGGAGCAGACCACAGCGGCTCAGACCCGGCGTGACCTGCGGTGACCATATAGTTCATCTATTTGATGACCATATACTCCATTCCCGGCCCGACGGCCCCGATTGCCCCGCGGCAATCCGGACCGTCGGGCCGGTAGGACCGCGAACGGCCTGGATCGCCGCGCGATGTTAAAATCTTAAGATCGTGGGGCAATCCAGGCCGTTGGGCCAGTAGGTCCGCGGACGGCCCGGATGCCAAAATTCTCACATTAGCGATTTTCATAAGCGTAGGGAAAAAGGTAGCGGTGTCGAATCAACTTGGATCGTTTTTTCACTTTAGTTTGCCAGCAGCATGACGGTAATTGCACAGTAACAAAAGAAAAGGGTGGTTATGTATGTGTAAGGTGAACTCAAATCTTACTTCTGGCGGATTTTGAACATGCCGGTACCGAGGGGCATTGGGATTCCCATGATAATACATTCACTGACGCCTTCAATCTGGTCCGTTCTCCCATGAATCGCGGCATCAAACAGGTGATCGGTCGTCTTCTCAAACGAGGCAAGCATCAAGACGCTGTCCTTCATCTTGGCGATTCCATAGCGCGTAATCCCAAGAACCTCACCCTACACAACAGAATTTCATGCACATAACAGACATACGTACACAGCGACGATAATATATAGAGTTGGAGGAGGGTCAGCCAGAAATATATCTCATCTAAAAAAGGAGCCGGAACCTGATCCTTCTCTGCACATTGTCCGCTTGCTTCTGCATGCCTACATCATTGATGCAAGGTACTGGCTACACACACA